CTAAGGAAACTTTTAAAATTCGGAAAAATCCTTATTTTATAACAGAAGTCCTTTTTATTTATGTTTATGAAATTTCATTTACATCTCACATAGTGACATAATTAAAACGAACAGAATAGAATTGGATCATACGTAGATTCAGTTTATCCATTTACCGTCAGGAGTGACTGATTAGTAGTAGTAGCTAGCTTTTGTGCCGTGCCATCCACTAAGAAGGATTTTGGAATAAATACGACCCCCTTCAAGAGGGTGAAATAGTTTGTAGAACAATTTTTATTTTAAAATGTCGCTTGACTACACATTCATTTACTTTTTTACACACCTACTGTGTAAAAAAGTAAATTAATGCATATTTTGCAATTTCAAAACAACCCCTTACGGAAGAGGGAGTAGTGCCCGACGTTGTGCAATTTCGTATACAGAAAAGATATTTTGAAATTTTAAAACAACCCCTTACCATGGGAATGGGGGGGGGGGGCAAAGGTTGTTCAATTGTGTATGGGGAAAAATATTTAATGCTCTAAAATAATAAATTTTACTCTTACGGTTTTAAAACAAGGGGGCAAATTGTGTACGAAAAACACTGTATTTAGACGCACAGCTCGAACCGGTGGACGTAGAGACGTGAAATTTGGACAATAACTTCCTTTAATAATAACGTAAGCATCCATTTAGAAAAGATTTCGGACAATTTTAATCCTTAGAGGGTGTTGAGAGGTTATGGTGTTCCAGTTTTTAAGAAACTTATTTTACGAGCCGATTTCATATTTTTATTGAGAAAAATTATTATTAAATGAGTTTTGTAACTTGAAAACTAGTACGAATACTTTTAGATAAAAAAATAATTACGTTTTTTCCTAATAAGACGAGAGTACAAAATTTACGTGTTTCATAAGTTAATAGTTTTTAATTGCATGGTGGTGGGTAAATTATATATAATAAAACCGAAATTATAATAATTATTTGTAATACCTATTTTTTTATAGAAGAGGGGGCAAACGTGCACAGGGTTCACTTAATGTCAAGGGACTACCGCCGCCCATAAACAACTGCAACACCAGGGAAATTTCAGGTGCGTTGCCGGCCTTTTAGAAAGGAGTAAGCTCTTTACTTGGAAGTCTCTAAGTTTTATCAGTCAGGAAAAATCGCCGGTGGTAAACTAATCCACAGTGAGGTCTTACGTGGAAGAAGAGTGAAACGTACACCGCTAAGCATCCAGATTGTGTGGATGGTATCGGGAGGTTTGCCGCGTAGTTCGTTCATGAAATTTGGCGGCTGAGATTAATCCGAACAATTCCTCAGAGCACTCCCCGTATACCGGTATTTGTGAAAGAAAATGCAAAGAGATGCCCCATCTTTTCGCAGCGCCAGTGAATCGAGCCGATCGGAGAGCACTCGGTCTTCGACGATTCGAGGGCTTATACGATTTTTTTAGGCTGACGTAGTGAGTATATAAGCAAACAAAAAATATTTTTTTGGATTTTTATGCGGATCTAAAATAACCGATTATCATTACTTTTGGATCACCCCTCGTAGATGAAATTAACTACCTACTGCGTGCGTGTTTCGCAAACCTTTCACTCCACATAGGTCGAAGGCTACATCTAATAATATCACGAATATTAAAAACACATGTTTAGCATTATTTTTCAAATGGCATGCGTTTCATAATGATTTGATTAAATGTTTCTAACAATAAAAATCGAACAAAAAAAATTTGTTACACTTATCGTGCATATTCAATCATTAACACATAACATTTCAAGAGAAGACTTCTGCGACAGACGGATAAAGAGATATCAAGGTGATTATATATTTTCCAGAAAAAAATATATTGTAAAAATTATGAGATATATTTAAAATTAATAATATTCTGTTCATTATTGTACACCCGACCGTGTCAGTCAGATCGTAATCTTAAAGACGTAAGGCATTGAGCAAGTTTTTGAATGTTTTATACACTTTTATTGTAATAATATACTAGATGACCTTTTTACCGTCTGAAAAAAAAAACAGAATGTAACATGTGAACGGAGTAGAAGCCGACGGCACTGATATCTTACAAAAAATAAAAACAAAAATTTTTAATTAAACGTTAGAATTTTTTTAACAATTATTTTACCCTTTGCACTTAAGCCTGTGACCCTGCGAAGTGACAAGGTCAAATAAAATTTTATTGCCGTTCGTAATGTAGGGTGGATATGATTTTAATTAATTTATTTATTTAATTAAAAAATATTGTTTATATTTTTTGTAAAATATCAGTGCCATATGCTTCTACTCCGTTCACATATTACACCATATTTTTTCCAGACGGCAAAAAAAGGCCATCTCGTATAAAGGAATAATATACTTAACAACAAAAGAGTAATCAAATATAACATTTATAGTGAAACGTCTTGAGAGTCTCCTTAAACTTTTTATTTAATACTAGTTGCGACCGCGACTTTTTTCTCATGGATTTAGTACTTTTGTTTCTGTTATCATTGTCACTTAGCGGTCAGCCGCCGTAGAGTCTACATCACCTGAGGATGCCTCGTGTAGAGGCGAAACACGTGTCGTATTATCGTCGATGGTGTGTCTTACCTGGAATAGTGGTGTTGGAAGTAGTGGTGCTGGGACTAGTGGTGACGGAGTTAGTGCATGCAATTGAGGGAGGGCGGGAGGTGCTCTTCAATCCAGGTAAGACACATCATTGTATTTAGTTAGCGGAAGGTTGCGAAGTAATTAATATTTTTATTATAATGGATTTCCGCAAAGTAACGCCTGATTCTATCAATTAAACTACTCTTGAATTTCATATTTTATAGAATCAAAATGGCCTATATATCATCTGCTGTAGTATCAACAACTCAGTGTTTTTTCCACTAAAAGTGGTGGTTTTGACAAAATGCTGCTATACTTCGTATAGTGAGTGTAAAAAATCTCACTAATACTTAATTTATTTTATTTATAGAGTATTTTTAGTAAGTTTCAAGTCAATTGCTACATTTAAAAAAACTTTTATTTTCAACTGCAACACCCTTTTCCACCCCCTTATGGACGCCACACACGATCAGTTCAACTGATCATTCCAACTGATCAGTTCAAACTAAAGTGTTGATATTTTTAAAATTTGAATATTCGATATTTTGATAATTATAAATATATCAATATCGGAGAAACTAAAAAAATCCCTCCTTAGTATATACATTATACGAGGGTGGATTGAAAAGTACTCGGCCTAACCAAGAAAATAAACACATACTAAATCAGTTATATTTTTATTTTTCTACATAATCACCATCAAGTTCAATACACTTTTGCCACCTCCCCCTTCCAAGCATTTAGACCGTTGAAAAAAAATGATTCTTCCATAGAGTCAAAATATGCGTCTACATCTGCTTTGACCTCGTCGTTTGTCGAAAATCTTTGACCTTCCAAGTGCTTTTTTAGGTTAGGGAACAGAAAGAAGTCTGATGGTGACAGATCAGGTGAATACGGCGGATGCGGTAACAGTTCAAAGCCACAGTTGTGAATTTCAGCCATTGACTGTACTGATGTGTGAACACGGGCGTTATCTTGATGAAACAGGACTTTTCTTCTGAGCATTCCTCGACGTTTTTCTTTTATTTCCTCTCGTAAACGACGTAGTAAGGTGCAGTAGTAATCAGAGTTTATAGTCTGACCCCTTTCAAGATAATCAATCATAATCACACCTTTCGAGTCCCAGAATACTGAAGCCATCACCTTATTTGCCGACAAAATCGACTTAGCCTTTTTAGGGGTGGTGAACCAGGTCTTCTCCACTGTTTTGATTGTTATTTTGTTTCCGGTGTACAGTAATGAACCCATGTTTCGTCCATAGTAACAAAACGATTCAAAAAATCATCTGCATCGGCTTCAAATAACTCCAAACAGTCGCGTGAAATAGTCAATCGCGTCCTTTTTTTGTTCAACTGAAAGCAGTCGCGGAACCCACCTCGCAGACACCTTGTGGAAACCCAACTCGTTGACAATCATGTTTTGAGTTCGTTCATAAGAGATGCCTATAATCTCGGCTATCTCTCTAATTTTTAATCTGCGGTCTTCCATTATTAAATCAAGTACTTTTTTTAATATTTTCGTCAGTAGTTGACGTCGAAACCTTCCAGAGCGGGGTTCATCTTTCACACTCTCTCTACCACGCTTAAATTCTGCTATCCATTTTTTGACGGATGAATATGACAGAGCACAATCGCCTAATGTACTGACCATGTCATCATGGATGGCTTTTGATGATAGCCCCTTCTTATGGAGGTACTTAATGACGGCACGCTGCTCGATTTGCTCCATTCGCGGAAATTATGTCCGATTACTTTGTTAATAAATTTATAAAATCACAACTAATTATCGCACACGTTTCGAACTTCACACAATGAACTAGTCTGAACTGAACTAAATAATGTGGGTACATTTGATTTTTAGAATTGAGTGGATCTGTGTTAGGCCGAGTACTTTTCAATCCACCCTCGTATTAGTAGATATATTATCATTAGATTTCAGACTTCTACATCTAGCGGATTGAGTTGTGCTTTGATAGATGAGTCAGTCATTTAGGACATCTTTTATATATAATAGTTATATTATATACTAAAAATTATTAAATGATTGTTTGCATTGCTTGTTAAAAGTTTTTAGAATTCTAATTTGCACAGTTTTACGTAATAAACGTTATGAAATTCATGTTTTTTTTTATACATACACATACATTATTACATACTACACCTTACACATTATAAATATGTTATTATAATATTATGTACGTAATTTTCACATACGCTTATGTCAATTGTTCTCAAATAATTTTTATATCAGTTAAACGTGGCCTTCTGAGAGCGAATGTAGTGTGCTGAGTACGCATTAATTGCACCAGATAACCCCCTCCAAAGCGATTTCCCTTTTGTAAGTGGATACTAGACGTACCTCTCTCTTTGCGGACAGTGACACAGTGACCGTGTTAACGGCGGAGGGTCCAGGCCATGCACCAATTTAACCTAGTAGTGTTTACGGTGATCGCGATCTTTTTAATATTCGTACGAAAAGTGACACTTGAAAGTGTTAGCCCCTCTGAATCTGAACTTAGCTTTGCTGAAAGCGTCTACGTTAGACTGTCTAGTGCATGTAAGTTCTTCTTCTGTTTTATATACTCGTAACAGTATACTTCGGGATACAGGCAGCACATATTGTAGGGAAGATGTACTGTAATCATAATATAGGCGATCATAATACGAGACATCTCGCCAACTTAACGCTGCTCGCCAATTTTGGTATTCTATCTATATATCGAAGACTATGATATCTCTTTAGAGTTTGCGATAGGATAAAATAGGATTATCTAACGCCATCACCACACAGTGCACGTAAGATTTTTTGTAACACATTTCCTACAATTATTATTTTTTCACTTTTCCAGGCAGGGCTTTAGTTGACTTACAATACTACTCAATGAAAAGTCAAAATGGAATAATTAAGACAATGAAAATAACTCAACTAAATGGCAGCATGACTAAAACTTTTCCCATCGACGGAGCATACCAAATACTAATTAAACCCTCAATGTTCGATATCACTAAACAAACAAAAGTTATTATACACGGTTTCAGAGACAGCTCACATTCATCTGTTTCACAAGATTTAGCTGAAGCATACAATGAAAAAAACATTTTTAATGTGCTATTAGTTGATGCCGAAGAAATGATGAACAAAGGATATGTACTATCTGTTCATAATGCACGTTTGATAGGAAAAAGACTTGCTAATCTTTTAGCAAATTTGGAAAACTTCGGAGCTAACGCTGAAGATTTTCACCTAATCGGCATCAGTCTTGGAGCCCATATAGCTGGTTGGACTGGAAAATATTTCCGACAGTACAAACGTAATTCCATTGGACGTATAACGGGCTTAGATCCTGCGGGTCCATGTTTTTCATATGCGTACGCTGATCAGCGGTTGGATAAAACTGATGCGAGATATGTTGATGTAGTGCATTCAAATAGATTGGTACAAGGCATAATAGAGCCCTTGGGCCACGCGGATTTTTATATTAATGGTGGAGGACCAATGCAACCAGGTTGTATGGTACCTTCCTGCAGTCATCTTAGAGCAGCAAATATTTACGCAGAAAGCATAAAAGTACCTAAGTCGTTTGTGGGGATCCGATGCCGAAGCTGGAAGCATTTCGAAGAAAATGCTTGTGAAGATAAAGATTACGCGGTGCTCGGCTATGGGTCGTCAACAGCAACCAGAGGTTTTTATTACCTACGAACTTCAGCGAGTTCACCCTTTGGACTAGGAATGGAAGGAACAAAAATTCTGAAGTCATCAATGAATAGCTAGATAAACATAAATAATTTGAATTTTACTTGAAGTGGTTACTAAAGTCTAAATTTTACTTGTATTTGCCATATGTAGTTTTTGCAGTATGTATATAATTGTATTTTACAAGAGTAATTTTATATCATATTATGGGAATAATTTTCATTGTTCCGAGTATAAGTTTTATCTTTAATAAAAGTAATCAAGGTCGACTTCTTCCAATATCAATAATATAGTGAGTGTTTGTTTAAAAGTAAATAGGTAATCAAAACACTCACATAAGTTTATTTGCGCACCTACATGCAGTGATTCGGAATAAAATGTTTGCAAATATTTTTTCGTTGTTGTTTTATCACTTTTGTAGAAATAAATTACTAAGAAAAACATATCTTATTGTCATAATAAGTTAAAAATAATAATTATTATTATTTGCATACCTATTGTTGCTTTAACATATATTTATTTTCCTGACGAATACTGTAAAATTCATCAACTGTACAAATATATTTGAATAGAATAGATTTTTAATACCTATAGCTTAAATAATGCTTTTCTCTAATAATATTTTATTATTGTGTCTCAAGTGTACACGCTGACATAGTGTCGTATGCTAAACAATGTTATCATCATCATCATTACAACCCTTCACATGTCCACTGCTGAACCTAGGCCTCCCCAAAGAATGCCACAAAGCACGGTCCTAAGCCACCTGTATCCGTCGACTTCCTGCATGTATTACCAGGTCGTCACTCCATCCAGTGGGGGGTCGCCCTACACTTCTCCTACTAGTACGTGGCTGCCACTCGAGAACTTTTTTCCCCATAACCAAATGTATTGTTAAAACCCTAACCAATGTATTGTATATATATTTATATTAAATGTAGGGTAAAAACATTATCAGAGGCGCGGCAGCTATGCACGATTGGGGCCCGAAAACCAATAATTTTATCGCTCAAACGTAACGGCTGTGATTACCGTGCTAGTTATGTTAAATTTATTTATTATTTTAAACATAATCGTTCAAATTATTAAGATAGAACCGCTATTACGAGTAGTGCTAAAAGTTTATAAGTATTTACATCTGTTTTCTCTTTTTTTTACATTATTACTGCATTAACTTTTCTGAAAATATTTCTAAAGAAGAGAATAAGTTTACACGATGGTTCAAAATTGGTGAAATCCCAATTGCACCTTTTTTAACAATGTCAACAGTCTTACAATGGATCAAAATCACAGTGGTTCTAGAGGCAAAGACGCGGCTGACGTGCAAGTCAAGGATAAGCAATTAGACTAGAACCGAATATACTCGTATTGATAAGATATATTTCTTTTAACAAGCACTTGTTTACCATAGGTGTAACATACAGTCCCCACGTGTTGCTTGTATGTCTGGCGGACGCCACTTACACGGATAAGTAAACCTACATGTCAAGGTCGCTCCCTGAAGTCGTTAGTAATATTAAAGGCTTACTAAAATTCTTTGAGGAGATATCATTGCTTGTATAAGAAAATTATTCCTGCCCACACACCGTGTATTGTAATTCATATTACAGTGCCGTTTAAGATCTACTGTTTCCACATCTTCGGAACTCATATAACCATAGTTTAAAGAAGCCACTTCAACAAAATTGCAATTTCATACGAGTAAGTAAAGAACTAATATTATTTGTTTCTTCATGTAGCGATGACTCTGACGGACGACGGATGACGAGCGCTAACCATTTGAGCCGTGGTAGCTCAGATGGTTAGCGCTCGCTGTAAATTTAACAATACGCGAGCAAACCGGGTTCGAACTTTAATAATTGTTAATTGCAATTTTAAGTGCTGATTTACCACGTGCTCGGCGGTGAAGGAAAACATCGTGAGGAAACCTGCATGTCTGGGAAATAAGAAAAAAATATTTCGAAGACATGTGAAGTTCGCCAACACGTATTGGGGCAGCGCGGCGGACTATTCCTTGCCCTAAAACTCTCTCAGAAAGGAGAGGAGGCTTGAATCCAGTAGTGGGACGTATATAGGCCGTAAGTTTACTTTACTTTACTTTAAGATGGATGAAAGTTTTAATAGCGATATTAGTATAATAGTGCTATTTTAATGTTACTTATAGTTAAATTTTAAAATAGTAAAAACCCGACTTCAAAGAACTAAAAAGTATGTAAACAACAAAATCGGTGGACGTGGAAACGAATTATTAGCCTATCGTACAGATGACATGGCAATGTGGTAAAAAATATCGTTGAATCTATAATATAATATTCTGATGAGATAAGAACTTTTCCTTTTTCGAATTCGCTTAAAATGACAATTATTTAAAAAGTAAACTAAATGACGACCTAGTAAGTCTTTTTATTTCTTTAGACAATTTTCATGATATAAAAATATTTATTTTTATTTATACAAAGAGTCAAGATTAAAAAGAAATAATACACTTCTAAGTAAATTATCACATTATACAAATATTATTAACATTTTTACAAAATATTTTCTTACTATTCTTACAGTAATATAAGATAAGCGAGTAGATAATCATTAGAAATAAAAGATATTTCGGCAATCTGCTTGCTGATACAACTATTATGGCTATACCATAAACTATGGATGAGTTTTATTTTTATTTTTCGTAATGTATTTTATGAATGGTTACATAAATTTCCGAAATATTACAAAACAATCATCTAAAAACAATGGCTACTAAATCGTATGTGGTGATTATACCGACCGAATTTAAACGAAACTATTACTGGTTGGGTAAGAGTTTAATCTTTTTACTCAGTTATACAAATTTCAACATCATGGCAATATTCATTAAAAATTTAAAAGTAGACTAATTGTTCAATATTTGCATAATGGAGTTCCGTTACGGGACGAATACGATATAAACCGTCCGCAACATTAATGCGCTTAGAGAGATTACTACTAATGGTTGTGCTGGCTTTGGTTTAGTTGCTTTTGCAGTGGAAATTTCGTTTTACAAAACGAGTGACGATAACTAGTATATGTGGGTAGTGGTAGATTTTACGTCTGAACTCACCGGAATTATTCGTTTGACGTTAGCATTTGATAAATCTTCAATAAACAACACACACGCACACACAATCATACACCTACGCATACATGCTCGACTATTAAAAGGATGTTCTTAATTTGGCCCATTTATTTCTATTTCTTTTACTTTCGGTTATAAATAAAAATTATTTTCAAAAAATCGGGAAGTTATTGTTTTCACCACGGTTTTCGAAAATGGAGTTTTGAGGTCCTAGTAAGCTATTCTGACTATTCCTACGATAATGTCTCTTCGTATGTATGTGCATGTGAGTGTGCGTATGTGTGCGTCTGTGTGTGTGTGTGTGTGTGTGTGTTGTGTGTGTGTGTGTGTGTGTGTGTGTGTGTGTGTGTGTGTGTGTGTGTGTGGTGCGTGTGTGTGTGTGTGTGTGTGTGTGAGGCGCGGGCGTGCGTGCGCTTGTGTGGTGTGTGTGTGTGTGTGTGTGTGTGTGTGTGTGTGTGTGTGTGTATGTGTGTGTGTATGTGTGTGTGTGTGTGTGTGGTGTGTGGGTGTGTGTTGTGTGTGTGTGTGTGTGTGTGTGTGTGAGAGAGAGAGAGAGAGCGCGGGCGTGCGTGCGCTTGTGTGCGTGTGTGTGTGTGTGTGTGTGTGTGTGTGTGTGTGTGTGTGTGTGTGTGTGTGTGTGTGTGTGTGTGTGTGTGTGTGTGTGTGTGTGTGTGTGTGTGTGTGTGTGTGTATGTGTATGTGTGTGTGTGTGTTGGCTTTACAAACTAGCTCGATGTTTGGGTACTACACGAGCTTACTTACAGAAACCTAATGAATCGTGTACTCATTCGCGGTTCTCTATTGAAACGTAATGAAACCGAACTATTTTTGAAATAATTGATCACTAGTGATAAAAGTGGATCACCTACGACAAGAACGTGTGTAAACGATCATGGTCAAAGGTAGTCAAGCTAGCGTAACCCGGTTTAACACACAATAAGGTGATGCTGTGTGTATGGTGGTATTGGATGGGCGTCGTTTACCACGAGCTTTTACCATCGGACAAAACCGTCGATTCGGATCTATAATGCCAAAAACTAATGATCACACGTATACATTAACCTACATAAGACTCATGAATGGGAACTTAATAAATATCTACATTGTGTAATAATGATAAAAACCGACTGCCAAAATCAACTTTTTTTAAATATTCATAACTTTTGTGCACTACTGCGACTTACTTACTTGCGTAGCTTACATGTACTTTTCTAATTCTTTATATAGAAGATCTGTACTTTCAAATGACATAGATTTCATCTCTGTACAGTCTGAGGCACAGGTTCATTCAATTTTTGGCCATCTAATTTACTGGAAACAGCACATTGATATCGTTTGTAAAAAGCTTCAGCGTTTTGCTTTCGCTTAAAAAAGTGTTAGGCAAAATATATCAATTGAGGCTGCTCTCACCGCATACCATACGATGGCTACATGGTGCTTAGCCATGAGATATTACTTTGGGGTAACTCTGTTGAGGTAGAAAGAGCACTTTTAGTTCAAAAACGATGAATCCGCGCCTTAAGTAACATTCGGTATTGTAAACCTTACGTTAGAAATATAATATTCTTCTATTAACTTGTTTATATATCAAAAAAGCCTGTCTTTTTGTCAAATCATTCCCTAAGTATTTTAAAACCCGTCAAGATACTCTCTCTATTATCTTGATGTTAATGCTGTTAGTCTATGCGACTCTTACAGCTTCATCTTGTCACAGGGCTCGCGGCCTGCAAGGCCGCGAGCTAATTAAAAAGGTAAAGGCAATGAGGTGAAAATGATGATGAATGATTTATGATTTGATATTGTTATCAATCATCATGTCGCCTTTTAGGCGTTTTTCTTTGAGCTATCTAACCGCAGTCCGAGGGGGGGTGTGCGGACCCCCGTCTCTGACTGCTCAGCTCGTGTCGGTCGATGTTCTGGCGGTGAGAACCGTCCAGGAACGCGGGTGTACTGTGTGTACGCGGTGTAAGCTGGA